AACTTCATTGCATCCCAGAGCAAGGGTAGTACCTTGCTATTGCATTAGCTCCTGAGAGCAGCCTGGCAACTGCTCTGTTGCAAGCCTTTGACACACTGATAACTTGGCACAGAAACGCTGGGCTCTCACAGGACAGAGGGTGTAGCAATGAGCCTGGAGAACCTGTCTGTGTTACTCAAGGGTTAGCACAGGACAGGTTCCCCACTTCAGTGCTCAAAGGACTGACATTTCAATGCATCCTTTCACTTTAGCCTCCTGTTACACAGCTCTGTGTGCTTTTGCATCCCAGGTCTTCTTTACACAGTGGCCACTATGTGCTCCCTCCGAACTGCCTTCTGATTTATCAAAGACCTGCTCAACTCACTCAGTCCACCTGTCTTCCACATGCTGTGCCCGCCCCTTCTGTGTCTTTTAAGAGCACCATTTCTCCCCCAGGGTCAACCTCACATTGGCTGGCTTGTCCTCTTGGTTTCTTCATTCATTATGCTAAGCAGAGTTGATGAGACAGAAAAAGGAAAGTGGCGGGGGTCACTGAATTTGAACACCTCCACCAGCTAAGTTTGGAGCAGCCTCAAGTTATTTTAAACAAAATAAGTAATTAACATGCCTTTTTGTAATGGTAAAATGGCCTCTGTGAGATACTGAAGCGTGAAATTCAGACCCTGAGATTTAACTCTGGAAAAATCATTGGTGGGAGAGTGAAGTGGCAAGTTTTCAATAAGTAAGTTACTTAAAATATTTCTTATGCAAAGCAATAGTTTTCTGGAATAGGTGCACATGAAATGTGGTTGTTCTGTGAAAAGTAACTGTGTTAAAACAGGAGATTAGAATTCAGTCATTACAATGCAAAAGAGAACAAATCCAATTCAGCCTGTAGGTGAAGTTACTTGTTTAAGGCTGTGCTCACCATTGAAAAGTGGACAGCTCATGCTGTGAGATCTTCCTAACGGTGGGGTCACTTACAGAATCTCCATAGCTACCCACACATAATACTGTTCAGACTATGTGTGGATTTAAGTGATACTCTCGACCTCACCTGCAGTTTCAGTCTCATAAAGCAAACAGGAATTGGGGTGTAGATATACTTTTCCAGAAATACAGGGTTACCCTGAATCTCTGAACTGGCAAGACTCTTCTAATGATTAACAATGAATCACTGTTTTTTACAAGTCTCAATGCATTCACCATATGCCAGGTGTTGCAAGAACATGAGAACATGTATTAAATTATAACTGGCTAAACAGCTTCACACTGGCACTTCCACTTGGTAATAGGAGTCTTGGGAAGAAACTATTTGAGTTTAACCTTCCTAGTATGGATAAGATACTGTCATCTTCTTGAGCATAATTATCTTTCCTCCCCCACAATCTCATCCTTTCTATTTTTCCCAGTAGGAGGATCAAAAGAAAGTTTGTTAACTGCAACATTCATCAGATAATCCAAAGGAGACATTAATCTAGAAGAAAGTATTACTAAATAATTAATTCATGGGATGCTTCTATTCTTATATGTATGATTTTCTTACGACTGTGGATTTTTCAGGCTAAATTCTAGTACAAAGGACTACCTACTTGAGGAGAGTGGTCTTGCAGGGGAATGAAGAGACAGGAGGGAAATGTGTGTCTTCTTCAGGACACTTGCTGATGAGCTTTAAGGACAATTATTATTATCAGCATTAATACTCAGTGGGTTGCTGAAAAGCAGCTCACGAGTAAACAAAACTATCCTAAATTTGTAAGTACATGAGCAGTTATTTATGGAAGACTTGCACTGTGACTTACTTCCTTATTAGGGAAATTTTTTTCCTTCTATTTCCCATCTCATCTTCATCTTTTGATTGTTCCAGGTCACCACTGAAAGGTCACTATGAAAGTAAATATATCTTCTCATTGGTGTGCTTTCCCCCTTGCACTTGTAATTTTACCAATGGTGTCAGTGAGTAAGTACTAAATATGGACAGAATGTATAGGGGAGAATCACCACAAGAAAGAAGTCAGTCTGTGAGCAGTGGAGCTAATAAAATGTGGTTGCCGTTGGCTTGTTGTCCTTTGTCCCTTTGCCTTCCTGGTGCACTATGTTAACCTTTCTCCATTTCTTTTATGGCATATCATTACGTAAAAAACCATTGTGCACTTTGTCTAGCCTGGCACTATGCGTGCGCTGTACTAGCTGGCCAATTGGTTGCTGCCAAATGTAACAGCTGAGCTCTGCCTGCCTTTTCCTCAGAGAGAACAGTAATTTGGGTTGGCCAACAGCTCAGAAAGTTTTCTGAGAGGGAGGTTGAGGGGGAGGGAGGGAGTGGGAAGAGATAAACAGATGGAAAGAGACAGATAACACAATAATTTAAGCCTCATTACTTACAAAACCAAGCTGAAAATGGCTGCCAGTGCTTACCATAATGAAGGCTTATCCAGAACACAGCAATGAGACATCAAAGGTGTGATTGCACCAGCAGTACATTCTGGCTGTGTCACAGTGGCCTTTCCCTCCCACCTGCACACTGTAATTATGGTTCTAGTAACTTTCAGAATATTTTTTGTCAATAGAATCATAATAGCCGGCTGTGCTACACTCACCATCCAAAGTCCATTTAATTTCTAGCAAGAGGTGGAGATTGATGTGCGTAACTGATGAACTCATCTGCAAAACCTGTACTGCCGCAAATGGGTCATTTAGTGGTTCTCATATGTTTGGTTCAAATATTGGGCAACCTGCTCTCTCTCCTTTTGGCAGTTAATTCCCAATAAGATGCTCAAAGAATGAGTACCAATTCCCTTCCAGTGCCATGACAAATGTAGGCGTTATAGACTTTCCCTGGAAATGCTTCAGCTGTATAGAATTCCACAGACTATTCACCTTATCTAAGAGATTACATAGGGATATAATAAGAGATGACAGTATTTACACTCAGCTGGTTTCCAAACATTTTGCAACTGACAGCTTTATCAGTGAAAAATATTGCCATTTTTATTATAAATAGTCTCATTATTTTATATGTGATATCTAGATACTCTGGATAGGTAGAAGATGTACAAATTCAAATTCATGGCCATTCCAATGTGTGTATGCTACAGATTGTAGTACGGATTAGGTGTCTAGGAAGGAAGTAAACCTTATTACCGCTGAGAAGCTTGGCCCAAAATTGTATTTTAATTACATTTTGTTGTGATCTACGTGGAAATCTAAGTTGTGATATAAAGTGCAGTATAGTGGAAGGTGCTGAATAAACAGATAAGGAGAATTTCATTTAAAAAAAAGGGCAAAGTTTTAAAACCTATGCCTAACATTAGGCCTAAAAAGCATACTCTTCTAGGCAGCTGAGCACCTGCCAGTCACTTGAAGCAATTGGACCAGCAAATGCTACTTCCAGAGGACAGTAGGCCAATGCCTACCAATTACTGGTTTGCAAAGTAACCTTAAACACCCTATTTTGGAAAAGTTTACCAATGTTTTTATCCTATACTTTGGTTGGGTATTATTTCAATCCAATATATTGATCACAGGTCGAAGACTTTTGTAAAGGTGCTTAAAAAGAAGCTTATTTAAATATTTATGTTCACCGATGTAGATTCAAAAAGGTGTGGCGGTTTCTATGTAGAGACATGTCAAGTGCAATACTGTATGTTTGAAAGTGTTAGTCAAGTCTTTGGTGACTTTTAGTTCCTATAGTAAGGTTGCTGTCCAAGCGTGTCTACTTAAGAGAACTCAACATTTAAATGTCCATTTAAAAATTGATTTGGTTGAATGATACTGTTTATTGTGTCTGAGACCTAAATGTTCTGGAGGAGAATAAAAGGAGTGTTTCTCTTCTAAGTGTTGTCAAACTAGAAAGAATGATTGTTCTGAAGTTCTGCATATGTCAGCATAATGAAAGCTTAGTCATGCAAATCCTTATTACTTGGCAGTTCTGCAGCAGAGCAAAAACAGAGCGTTACCATATTTTATCTGTGTTTGTAGTTAAAAGCATGCTTTTCATTGTGCTTTTTAAGAGCAGATGTCCGGACAATGCTGAAAACATAAATGAGTGGTAAAAAATATTTTTCTGATTTAAAAAAGGGGGAAAAATCCTTAGCTAGTTGAATGCGTTGGCCTTCATTTCCATAGAAACACATTAACTGTTTATGTGCTTCCTTCCATTTCCATGGGGGGAAATAAAATAATTATTCAATTAACAGCAGATTTTATTTTACTATTTTTCAGTAGTTTTGCTAAGTGCAGTAGTACTAAGTACTGAGTTTCAAATCATGAAGGTTTTCTTAGCCCTTTATGGGATTACGATACATTGGAGTATGTTGAATAAATGCACCACGACAGGGAAAATGTTACTCATGTAGTCTATAGACTCATGTAAGGATGGAGTTGGAGAAAAGCTGCCTTTAGAAATACTAGCAGAGTTATAAGCAAGCAAGCTAAGGATAGAGACAGAAGGGAATGCAGATATCAGTCACGTTTTAAGGTGCTCTTTACAGTGTCACACAGCCAAGTTTAATAGGGAATAGTGGCAACCACTTAAAGAAGTGTCTGCTAATTACTATTGGTCATATCAGGAGAGATCTAGCAGTGACTCACTTGGACAAAAACTGACTTGGTCAAAGTTACTTATTTCTCCTGAGCTAGTAGCTGGGTAGAAGTGCTTACAAGTAAAGGTTTCCCTGCTGGCTTCCTTATACTCATTCACTGACTTACTGATTCATATGCAAGAATGTCGAAAAGAGGGTGTAGATGTTCATTTTTTTCTGCACTCTATTTAGGTAGTCTGCTTTGGTTTTGAACACTGATTACATGATATAAATCATTTGATGCCTGTTTGTTTCAGATCATCAAAGGAATGAACGAGACCTCTTAATGCAGCCTGTCTCTTTCATGTAGGCATACACAGAATCATTGCACTGCCTGCCTCATCTGGATTACAACAGTCACCTCATAGGAGATGTTAATTATAGGTAAAGCTGTGAATGCCATCTATAGTTAAACTTGCTTAACATTTTTCATCACAAGACTGTTTTCAGCTGCTTATACATTTGTCACATGTATTATTTGGGCTGAAAATGTACACACTGGAGACTGCATCTGGCTGAATTTTTGTATCTAAAGTTTCAGAAAAATTGGCTGCTGAGAACAAGTTTGATTTGGAGGTGGAACCAACGTGTTGAAACGTTTCCAGATTCTAGGCCTTGCAAAAACTCTAGCCTGCATGCAAGAACTCAAGAACTGTCAGAACATAGAAGGAAGGTGGTGGAAATCTACTTAGATCTACTTTGGAGATCTAAGTCAAGATACTTAATAGCTACTTTTTTCCAGGGTATCATTATATGATCTCTTTATGTCTCTGCTCTTCACCTGTGAAAATGACCGGAAGCTCATCCCATTCAGAAGCTGTATGGGCTTTGTCAAGATTCATTTCTTGTTTGCAAAGCACTGAAGTAGTACAAGGATGGCATGACAGAAAAATTAACAGACAGATTCATAATTCTGTCTTCATAGCAAGTCTTCAGTACAGGTGAGTAAATAAGATCCGGTGCCTCAAAGAGATCACTAAGAAGTAAACAAAATGCTGAACATATTTGCATGTGTAATAATTAGCATCTAATCTGTCCACTGAATGAGGAAATGACTCCAGGAAAAGATACTCATGTTATCCATAGTCCTGCATACAACTTGTACACCAAGGGAACTGAAATGCAATTGTCTAGTCCATCTTGGATGGTAGTAAGTTTTGAGTGATTGACTTTGTATCTGTAGGATTCTTTTAATATGATTTTTTTGGCATATCATTTACTACTTAGTATTATCTGTAGTTCAGTCAGTAGTGGAGGGAGACAAATGCATGAAAATGGAGTAATTGTACGGTAAAAGAAAGAAACAGCAAATTATTTTCTTAAACCCTTGGATAACTTCCTGTTTTGTCTGCAAAATAATATTTTTCCTTGGAGAGGAAAAAGGTGTTAGACATAGCAATTTCACTGGGATAGAAACGTCATCACATAAATAGCCTGCTGTGAATGACATTTTAGGCAGCTCAATCAATATCCTGCCAGGAGAAACAGACTCCCTTGAAAAATAGTTATAAATTCAATGCATCCCTTAATGGGAAATATATTGGAATTTACTTGTAAACGTATCTTATTTATAAAAGAGTGAGCAAATAAACCTTCCATTATGCTAAAGTCAAAACCATTTATATACCAATAATAACTATGTGTTGATGCAATATTTGTCTGATGTATTATCTTGTATTTTAAACTGCCCAAGGAATAACGGGTTTATATTATTAACAACAACTATCATTAACCAGCACATAGTGCTTTTCATTCAGATTTCAAAGACCTTTGCAGAAGTTTATTATCACCATGTTTTAGGTGGGGAAGTAGAAGAAGGGAAAGGTGAGAACCTTGCCTAGACCATCAGAGCACGTTAGTGTCTTTTACTGCCCGTAGCCGGGTGGGTGCCTTCTGACATCATTGCATCTGAGTTGCATTTATATGGCACGTTGTATTGTTAGGTATGTCACACAGGTCTGCAGAATGGCCTTGCACTGGTGATACACTGGAGTAAGAGGGACTTTTGATTGTCATTTCTGAGACCATCAACTAGGTGGAAAAGTTTTTTGAAAGCTTATCGAAGCAGAAAGTTAGGGTTTAAATACGACTGTAGTTTGCTAATTGAGCATGTTTGAGGATCTTAAGCTCAACTTCCTTAGAAAGCATATAGCACAATTGTCAATGTTTAATTAGGAGGCATTTAAGCCTAAATATTCAAGGGTGGTATTTGGTTTTGTTCTCTGGTGCTACCCAAAAAAGGTGAGAAAAGCTTCTGCCCTGACAAGAAGTTATGAAAACTGGCAGTCCTGTGAACACTGAAAGTTTAAGGGTATAGACAGGCATGAACCCTTTCAGCAGCTGTGCTAGTTAGTTAGCTTAAACAATCTAAATAGTAATGCCACTCACTCCAAGTGGCTTAGGGAGCGTTTCTGTAAGCAAGCTCTGCCAACAAATGTGAGAGCAGTAACCTCTGCAAAGAAGTGATGATCAACAGCTGGGGCTATAACCTTTCCCTGGCATGTCTGCATCCAGCAGGGAACATCTGTCCAAAGCCTAACTTCCAAAATTTACAAAACAAAGGTATAGTTTGTTTAACGAAATTGCTCATATTAGCTAAATAATGGAATGTGCTTTGATTCTGCTGATGCCAGAACCACCCAACTTTTACTTTCCTTATTTATTTAGCATTAATTTATTTAGAAAGCTCATTTTTTAAAATAGTGCAGAAAATAGGCCTTAGGTCACGTAAGACTCTCTTAAAAAAACACTTCCATGTTACTCAGAATCTTTTTTTCATTAAGATGAGTACAGGACAAGATGATGCATGCAAAATATTTAATGATAAAATTATCCAAAAACATGTCAAGATTTATTTGGTGTCACTTAGATACTCCAAACGGACAGGTGGATACACTGCTCCCATGAAGCGTTTGAAGTTTAAACACACGCTCTTAAAAGTGCTAGTAATGGTAAAAGAACTTTGTTTCCTGTATTTCAAGACTTATTGGGTACTTGTGTCTGTTAACTTCTTTACTCCTAAAATGGCATCATGAACTTCAGGTAGATATGTTGCTCTTGTGATTTAATAATGACCAAAATCATGGCTGTTTATGTAAATAATCTGAGTTCAGATGCTGTTTTGCACTTGTCTCAGTAAAAAAGTAAGAACCAAGTTTGGAAACTTATGTCTAATGATCCACAAGAATAATTTCCTTTCTTCTCCCTAGAGTTGTTTTAGCCATATAGATATCTGTGGAAGTACAGCATCTATCACAGGAACAGCAGGTCAAGCAGAGTGTTGATTTTTGAACTTACTTGCTTTGAGCATTCCTTAGTCTATTCATGTGTTTCTTACCATAGAATAAGCCAGCAGTGAACAGTCCTTGAAAGAGCCCAAAGCTTGAGTAAAAGCAATTTTTAATAAAAAAGGAGACTGGCAAGAGAGGCCTTGTATATATGTCATATAGCACCAGAACACACATGTGTAATTTGACAGTACATTTTTGTGGACAGCAGGAAAGTAAATTATTTTAAAATTCTCTTTCCTCCTACCTTTGAGGCTAAAGCTTTAATGAAATACCCCAAGTGTCATTTATTCCTCTGCACTTCTTTGAATATGAGTCTCCAAAGCAAGAAGCAACATCTCTTGTGGAAAAAAGGTATCTGTAAATTGTTATGAGTACTGCAGGAAGTGAAACAAGGATGAAAGTAAAAGAAATGCTATAAACAGTGTCTACCGAGAAAACTCACATGGAACTGCTGAGTGAGGATCACTGACTCTCAGATTCACGTAATTATGAAACATAGTGAAAATGAGCTGTCAGGAGATCTCCATTAGATAGTGCAGTTAACCCCAGTAATGTTTCCTATGTGTACCACCAAGGGGTGTTACGTATGAAAAGTTGGTTTGTTGTGCTCCCAATGAAATGGCTGATAAGATATTGACTGGTTAAAAGAAAAAAAAAGTTTCTCGCTCTCTGCAGTTTTAGGTTATGTTCAGTGCAGTCATGAAGGAAAACAAAATAAGTTTCTGTATTATCTGGAAAACTGACAGGTGGATAGATAGCCGGTAGGTAGGGTTGCATCATGGTTTCCATTTGAATGCCTTGATTCTGTCATTCATGAGATGATGAGGTTAACACCTCATCCTGACTGCTCCACTTTGCACACATCACAGGAATGAGAGTTAAAAAGTCAGTCATTATTTGTAACTTAAAACAGTAGCCTCCTCTTGCACTTGGGTCAGAAAGAAAAGGATTTTTAATGGAAAATTCTGTAGTTTAGTTTGCTTGTAGCTGTTATTTTAGAAATATATTTTTTATACTGGAAGGTGTTACTGGCTGCCATCAGATGGTTCTTACATCTGTAAGAATTCATACCTTTGGGTAAAGATGTTAAATGTGCTAAACAGTTTTCCTTCAGGCTAAATGACAGGAATATTTAAAGATGTTTTTTGCTGCTGGTAGGAAGACGGTAATCAAGCAAAGTAAAGCCTGAGCAGAATTAGGCCAAGTAGCCTGAGAGAGTAGTTCCAAAGGCAGTGGTCTGTGTGAAGAAATAAGTCAGGTAGCAAGTTGTGAGCGAGCATGGTTTAAGAGGAAGCAGAGAGACAAGCCTCTGTGAGGCTTATGACTCACTGGACAGGAAAGTTTGGGAATGCTGAACAACGAGAGCGTATGCTATTGCTTGTTTTTTACTTTGTGTGATTTTATACTTTGCAGAAAAACATCACACAAAAGAAAACCACAACAAACACCTGCTCACATGATCAGTTTCTTCTCCTAATGCATGTAACCTAAATGCATGTAACCTAAATGCATGGCTAGTGCCACATGTACAGTTTTATGGGATACATCTCTGGACATAGCAAGAAACATTAATGAAACATTCCATATCCCATTTCTGAAAGAATTTGCGATACAATGGCCAGAAAAGCAATGCTAATAACGTTCTTATCCTTGTCATAGAAATGAAAATTACATAAGTCAATCTTCTCTCTTTAAAGAAAAAGTTGAGCACTGTTTTAAATAAAACATATGTTACTTAAGGAAAATACCAGACAGCTTGAAGTTAAGCTCCATGGAGAAGAAAACAGTATTTACACTTCTAAAGAATGTACAACGAGGCAAAACATCCTTTCACATCGATGCAGTCCTTTCCAGGTATTTACCTGAGAGGTAGCTTCTATTGCACTAACTCAGCTGCAAGCAGGATCTCTTGAAAAGGCTTCATCATGCAAAATGCTGAGTGAGTGCATTTGAAACCTTGTAGCTGCTTGTAAGCATGGACCAGTAATAAATTGTGAGGAAGTTAAAAGGAAAAAACAAGCAGAACACAAGTGCTGAGGATATTATCAAAACACACCTACAGAAAACAGCACTCTTTTATCATTATTTTATTAATGTTAATGATGATTTTTTAACATAGGGTCCAAACTGTTGTGTTTAATGAGTAGCTGGAGTTCCTAGGGAAATCAGCACGAGCAGTGTGTGCTTCTGATGTCTGAAGGTAGTGTCTTAAATCAAAAATATGCTCTGTTGTAACAACAGTGAAGTTAGTGAACGCAGGAATGAAAAATGGTTACAAGCTGTAACCCGTCTGCATCAAAGTCAGTAAGGAAAAAGGCATGTTGTACCCTGTATTATTTGAAAAGTAGTACATGATCATACAATTAAAAGTTTATGTCATAACAGATATGTCATAACATAAGGAAAGCACTGCAACCTTGATAATGCCTTCACATACTATGCATGATGAGCCTTTTTTTTTGCCTTTCTGTGCCAGCAGTTGCATTGAAATTATGGAATAAAATGGGAAGGCATGGTATGATCCATTCTTCATAATTGCAAAACACTGTAAGATCTTCAGAAGAAGGATGCTCAAGAACTGTGCAATAGCTTTTATTAGAGCAGAGGTATGGGAGGAACAATAATGTCGTAGGCCCCTGTTCAGACAGTGC